GTGTATCTTCAACTTTAGGAGAAAATGCAAAACTATTTTCCAAAGTGGTTGTACCCATTTATACTCCTCCCACAGCAATGTATGAAATCTCCCACTTTTCCACATCCTTTTGCCAATGTATAGAGCTACTATTGTAGTTTTAATATTTATTTCCCTGATCACTAATGAAGTTAAGCAACTTTTCCATTGTTTATTGGACTTTCGTATGTCATTTTTGAAGTGCTTCTGTGGCTTTCGCCCATTTTTCTATTGGATTGACTTAGTAATTTGTAAAAGTTACTTATATATTCTGGACATGAACCCTTTGACAGTTATATGTGTTACAAATGTCTTCTTCCATTCTGTGACCTATCTTTCCATTTTCCCATAGTGTTTTTGTTTTTTTGTTTTGTTTTGTTTTGAGATGTGCAGTGGCGGGATCTCGGCTCACTGCAGCCTCTGCTTCCCAGGTCCAAGCAATTCTCCTGCCTCAGCCTCCTGAGTAGCTGGGACTGCAGGCGTGTGCCACGATGCCTGGCTAATTTTTTATATTTTTGGCAGAGGCGGGGTTTCACTGTGTTAGCCAGGATGGTCTCGATCTCCTGACCTCGTGATCCACCTGCCTCGGTCTCCCAAAGTGCTGGGATTGTAGGTGTGAGCCACCGCGCCTGGCCATCCCATAGTGTTTTTTTGTTTGTTTGTTTTGGTTTTGTTTGTTTTTTTTTAAGAGATGGGATCTCGGTCGGGCATGGTGGCTCATGCCTGTAATCCCAGCACTTTGGGAGGCCGAGGCGGGCAGATCACGAGGTCAGGAGATCGAGAACATCTTGGCTAACACAGTGAAACCCCATCTCTGCTAAAAATACAAAAAATTAGACTGGCATGGTGGCACGCACCTGTAGTCCCAGCTACTCAGGAGGCTCAGACAGGAGAATCGCTTGAACCTGGGAAGCAGAGGTTGCAGTGAGCCAAGATCATGGCACTGCACTCCAGCCTGGGTGACAGAGCGAGACTCCATCTCAAAAAAAAAAAAAAAAAAAAAAAAAAAAGAGATGGGATCTCACTGTGTTAACCAGGCGGGCCTTGAACACCTGGGCTCAAGTGATCCCTCCCACCTCAGCCTTCCAAGTAGTTGGGACTACAAGTGTGTGCCACCACACCAGCCTATAGTTTATTTTTATGAACAGAAGTACCTAATTTTCATGGAGAGATGTGTGGTCTTTTAGTTGGTGCTCTTTGCATATTACGAAATCTTGCCTTAGTCACTTGTAAAATTATTCTCCTATATTATCTTACAGCTGTATAGTTTTTGCTTTACACACTTAGTCTAATACATCTGGAGTTGACTGATTTTTTAATGTGATATGAGTAAAGGACCATTTCATATTTTCTCACATGAATATCCAGTTGTCCCAGCACCTTTTATTGCAAAGTCTATCTTTTCCCTTTGTTCACAGTGCTTCCTCTGTCATAAATTGAGTATCTATATGTGAATGGGTTTGTTTCTGGGCTCTTTTGGCCCAGTTGTCTCCCTGCACTAGTAACCTTCTGTCATAGTTATTACACCTTGAAAATGAACCTTAGCGTTGAGTAGGCGGCTTTCTACCCTTTGTAGTTCCATGTACATTGAATCTGCTTATTAAGTTACACACACATACAACCTGTTGACTTATTGGGCTTTCATTAAACATATAGATTAGTTTGGAGAGAAGTGGCATTTGTTGGGTTTTCCAACATCAAACGTGGCATAGCTCTCCATTTTAGGTTTACTTTAACATTTCTTTAAAAAGTTTTAGTTTTCTTATAGGGGTTGTTGAATGTATTCATATAGTTTGATATTTTTATGCACTTATTTTCTCTTAGGGAAGAGAACTACCTGAAGACTTTTTTGTTAATTGTAGCAATTTAGATTATCTTGGATTTCATGCTCATGATATCATATGCACATAGAAGTTTTGGTTAGATATACCTATTTTTGCCCTGTTACTCAGGCTGCGAATTGTTGAATAGAAGTGGCAATAGGAAGCATCTGTTTCTTAATATGTTTGCTACCATTAATATAAACAGAAATCTAAACGATTCTTCGATGGATCTTTTAATCTTTTTACTTTCAATATTTCTGTGTTTGATGTGAACCTCTTATAAACAGCACATAACTGCTTTTTACTTTTATTCCATTTGACATTCTAGATTTTAATAGTGTTTATTGTAATTACAAATACATTTAAAGTCTTTTGACCATCTTTTGTATTGTCTAATTATTTCTTTGCTTTCCTCTCCTACTTTCTGCAGGGTTGATTTTTCCTAATAACCTTTTCTCCTTCACTGCTAATTTGGAAGTTTTATATATCAACTTTATTGGCTTTCTGCTATTACTCTATTTTCATAGTCATCTTGCAATTCTGAATACATACTTAGGAGACAGAAGCCACATTGCACAGGTAACCAAACATGAAAATCTTAACCACCTTTTACTAGTTAGCAATTCTTGTGGTGTTTACTACTAAACGGGGTAGAAGTGGGACTCTAGGGGATAGAGAATATCAACTTCGGGATGCAGATCCTTCCCCCCAGGGGTAAGGGAGAATGAACAAGAAAGGAGGTTAGAAACTAAGTGCCTCCCTACCAGGCTGAGATTTAGATTTCCTCTGGCAGCCATAGGACCATGCAACCCACTTGTGGCTAAGAAACTTGCCAAAAGGTGTTGCCTGCTGATAAAACATGAAGGCCATGGTTCTTAGGGCATTAGCCAAGGGTTAACTGGGGGGTACGTAGGTGATTGAGAACAGCTCTATACACCAGTTAGCTAGCAGCCATGGAAAACATCAGAAGAAAAGCCCCTTCTTCCTGCTGTAGCCCTGCAGTGCCCTTCCGTCACCCTGTATTGGCAAAGCCAAATATCAAGCCCGCCGGGAAAGAGGCAAAGGAGACAGACGTCAATTTGAAGCTGAGAGGTAATGAATTCGTTACTGACTGACTCACAGTTATATTTTTAAGATAAGTATCTTTAGCTTCCTAAATAAGGTATGGTCTTGAATAGTTTCTTCTGAATCAGCCTAGCTGCCCCTTCTTAGTTGTTAGTACTAGCATTTTAGTTCTACTGTGTTTCTGAACCCTTGTAAAAATCTTTGGTTATTTGTTTATATCTTGTGAACAATCAAAACTTGCTTAGGTTTGCCAACGTATTTTACAGGTTTCTTTGCTCTCCACTGCTTCTCACGTGCTATTTCTGCCTTACTGGTACATTTTCCTTCTTGCTGAAATATTATCTATGGCTATTTTTCAGTTTGATATTCCTGTGCACTTTATATTTTTTTTAAAGTCTGTTTTTGTTTTGTTTCATAAGTTTTGCCCGTGAGTTTCCCTTTAGTGACAGTTATCTGCTGCAGTTGTCACACATATACCCTAGATATATTCAATTGACCATGTTTAAAATAAATGTTTGTGGTTTAAGTTTGGAAGAAGAGGGGTAGGTTTTCACTTATCTGCCATTTTGATTAGCTGTTTTAGGGTGGCTAATGTTTCAGATGTACATATGATACATTCCCTTATTTCTCTGGTGCTTCTCCATTTTCAAGGCACTTGTCTATTTAGGGAGCAATTAGAATGCCATCATGAGGTAGACGGGATAGGCATCAATGCTCCATTTTATAATGAGAATTTGCCATTTAAAATAGAAACCTCAGCAGAAACAGATTTCACCATGCATCTTCTATGTACTTAACACGGTCTAGGGTGGTGAGGGTGGAAAACAATTCAGGTAGCTTGAATTTTGTTCCCTACTGTTCAGTTGGAGAGTAAACAAATATTAAATACCAAATACAACATAAGTAGCTGCTTAGCATGTAACCTTAGCAGGTGCCTAACCAACATTTCTTAAAACTTAGTGTTATAAAGGCTGGAACAGTATCAACAGTAAATGCTACAGGCGGTGGGAAGAGGCCATTTCACTATTGATTGACTTAATAGAGGAAATAGGTTTGAGACAGGACTTGAGTCGGCAGAGCATAGTATTTGGACTATTCTGGAATAGAACATCTGCATGTGAATAAGGTGGCAGAAAACTGGAATAAGAGTAACATGACAAAAGCTTTGTTTTTGAATGTTGCCCTGCTTCAGAAAAGTGGCAGTGAAGGCAGTGGCAGAGACAGAAAACTGATGGCAGGTAGTGTTGTCTGAGTCGGTAAGAGAGAAGAGGAGGTCCAGGAATGTTAGAGGGAATGAGAAGTATATTTGGTCTTGTAAAGTCTGAAATGTAAAAGAGGCACTTGTTTAAGTATATAATTTATATATTTTGCTTTTAACATGTCATTTAGGTGAACTAACCATCTCTTTAGAAAAGCTGAATAGCCTAAACTTATCTGAAAGCTTCCTTTTCTCTGACGGTGAAACTCTTCAGCAGTCTCCAGTGCTTTGCTATGAGAGTCAGACATAGACCTGGGTTTGGAAGTTGGTTTGCATTTTCCTAGGGAAATAATGCTACATGCTGGAATTTGGCCCTTAGACTACACAAGAGTATTTAACTCAAGGTATTTAAGTATATCAGTATAACATTTTTGCCAGCAGGGAAATAACATTTTTAGCTCCAGGTCAAATAAAAGAACAAATCTCCAGGCATACAAGTACCACAGGTGGCAGCCAGAAGAGCTTTGGCAGTGTTAGCTCTTGGCAGTTTTGAGTTGGGTCACTTTCTGTTTCCATAAAAAAGTGACTTCCCTTTGGCCAGTCACTGCCCAGGAATGCTGGTAGTGGCTCCAGAAACAGATCTCCCCCATCCCCTATGCCAGGGGCAGGACACTTTCTGGTACATACATTCAGATAAGTCCTAAATCAGATGGTATACAATTACCTACTAAAAGTGAAAAATAACCACTGAGGTTTGGATAATTTAGTAGGAACAAATATATCATTTCTTGCTGGACTTGAACAAAAAAATCCAACCAAAAAAAGTAGTTCTTGCTTTTAAATAACCTCTTCCTTATGCTATTCAGTCATGCAGTTAAATTCCACACAAGAATGTATAATTTCAAGTGGTTCTGATTTAAATGACAAACTATACATATATTTGATGTAAGTGATCCAAAGGAAAAATATATATACATATATACACATTTTAATATAAAGGTGAGTGATAAGGATTCTCATCATCAGCTTCTGGGCTGTCCATTTGGAGTCAGCTCATACCTGTAAGACAGTTAGGTTTGGACTTAACGTTAGTAATGACAGTGTGTTGTGGTAACAGGACAAACTGCCTAGTCCTGCCTGCCTGGGCCTCTGTAAGACCAACAGAACCTGTCTCTGTAAGTTGGCCAGCCAGGGTTCAGGGTTAAGGCTAGAGTTTACAGGTGTCTTTTAGGGTATCAGTGAGATCTGCAGGCAGTAAAGCCTTAAATAAAGGTATTCATCTCTCTCCCTTCTTGATAACCAAAGTAGCTGAAATAGTACTGAAAAGGGAAAACTGTCTTGAATAGCAGGGTAACAGTAATAAAATGAAAGGGCACACTTACCATTGTGAAAAGCCCTTAATCAGATCTTCTTTTGATAAGTCAATCAGTACCTAAATAATCACAAATAATTAGTTTCCCTCCAAAACACTGCATTAAGGAAAGAAATTGGGATAAAGCAAGTTGATCATAATCTCCTTGGTATATCAAATCTCTCTTGTACTTACTTTTCCTAACTCCTTTCTTCTGTGTGAGCCAAGTGGCCTACTATTTTTCACTGCAACATCTAGTGACCTCTTCTTTACTTCTTCCATGGGAACAAAAAATTCAAATCTTTAGGAAGCAAAAAGTCAGGAAGTGAGAATTACGCATTTCATTCAGTTTTCTTGAAAATCTAAAGTGCTTCATCCATTTCCCTACTAAAACACAAGATACAGACTATTAGGAGCACCTAGAGCAGGACTGGCTCGTAAACTACTCACAATGTTTCATTATTACAGATAATCACTGTCCAGTGTTGTTCACAAAACCCAGAAGTATTAAGAGGCTGTTTGCCTAGAAGTGCCTCAGACTGCTGTGGCTTAGTTTGCATCTATCTTTCTCCAATTCTACCCTTGCTACCCTTCTGTTTTTTTTTTTGTTTTTTTTTTTTTTTTGAGATGGAGTTTCACTCTGTCACCCAGGCTGGAGTGCAGTGGCATGATCTTGGCTCACCACAACCTCCGCCTCCTGGGTTCAATCAATTCTTCTGCCTCAGCCTCCTGAGTAGCTGGGATTACAGGCATGCGCCACCACACCTGGCTAATTTTTTGTGTTTTTAGTAGAGACAGGGTTTCACCATGTTGGTCAGGCAGGTCTTGAACTCCCAACCTCAGATAATCCACCTGCTGTGGCCTCCCAAAGTGCTGTGATTACAGACGTGAGCCACCATGCCCGGCCCTGGCTACCACTCTTTTAGCTGGCCCTCCTCACCCTGAACAGTACTTATTCATAGGACCACCTCAACCCCCTTCTCAGTTTTTTCTCACCAGCTAAGGGCTAGAACACTGAACAGTTAGGTTTGCTGCAGTTGCGTGGAAAATAGTGGCCACCTCCTGTGGAGTAAGGCGGAGGAAACCTCTTACTTTTAGGTTTTAGGGTGGAGGTTGCCAGCTCTGCCTTCCAGATAGTCCAGGGTTATCTTGCTGTCATACTTCTGAGAATTATTAACAGGTTTAGGTTTGTCAGAAAAGTCAAATGTTAAACCTCTCCTATATTCCCACATAATTTTTTTTAATCCCTTAGCCATGTAGTAGCCACCACACCACAATTTTGACATCTTTTTATAATTATGTCAGCTTCCTTTGAGGGCAAAGTATCTTACTTGTGTGGCTCTAGAGTATAGGATGGTGCCTGGCATAAAGCATTCAGTAAATGTTGAATGAATAGTCTCTCTCTTCCTCATACCCTTTTCTTGATACTGATGAACTCAAAGTGTAGCTGTTAAAGGAACATAATAGTTCTTAGACATGGCCCAAAGAGGACTCAGTGTAACCCTTTTTGAAAAAGTTATTGGCCAGGAAAATTATGAGATGTAATATTTTCCTAAGCTGGCTAGAAATGTCTTTAGAACCCTGAAGCAGAAGGTACACACTGGTAAGATTCAGACTTCTAAGAATAAAAATATTTGGGATAAGATTTGCTACCACTGGCCCATCAGAAGCAATTAATATGATCAGAGTCACCTTTGTCCCCAAGGACACAGGTGGACAAGCCTTTGTGGAGAAGGGGAGGGTATCTTCTCCACTTGTCACCTATGTTTTGTTGCAGGAGGGAAGACAGGCCAAAGAGCTTCAAGCTTTAAAGGAAATTTTAGGTCCTTAGGCTCAAGGAATGTTTAACTGCTGGAATTAAAACAGATCAAAAAAATATTTGAATAGATTCAAATCTTTTTACTACCAGAGAGACCTCATTTAAACAGAAAGAACAGGGAACATTCCATATTCAAGAACACTTTAGCCTCTATGAGCAGTAAATGTAGGTAGCCATTTTGATAAACTTCTCTGGCACTCCATTTTTCCCACTAAAGTACAGAAGCTTCATGAAGTCATAGACTATATTGTCTTGTTCAGCCATAGGCTGCCAGGCAACGTAACAGGTACTTGGCAAATACCTGAATCGATGAGGCATTCTAGGCAGGCTAGCAGCCCACTTACGTCTCATCAAACAGAGGTTCCAAGGTCTTCCGCTTCACTGAAGTCTTCTTACGACATGCCCACTTCCTTTCTGGCAACAAGTAGACACGGACGTAGGGATCAGCTCCGCTGCTGGTACATGGTGTCAGGTTTCTGATTTGGTGTCAAAGACATTAGGAAAAAAAAAGGCCCCTGGTTTTCAAACACTGAAAATACTCATTTGAGAGAAGGCTGTATTCGCCATTCAGCATTAGATACGCTTGAGGATAAAAATGCTTAGTGGTCCTGATGATCAAAAGTAATAGTCTGTAGAATTTAGAGGACAAAATATCAGACGCATGATTTTGAAAACATGCATCTTTATAAAGCTTGGAGTAGAGCAAGTACTTTCCTTCTAAGGGAAGTTGGAGATTTTCACTTGGAAAATGTACTGGCTACCAGCCACTCCAGACAGTCTTGCAGTGGTTGCATCTGAGCAAAGCCCTTGGCTCTTGAGCCCATCAGCACCACTAAAGAATGATGGCCAGAGTGCCTCTTTGAGGACTTGATTACAGTGTTCAGGCCTTCAAATCTCATTTTTTTCCCCAAAGTGTTATCTTGGGACTATGTGCCCTGTTCATTGCTCTGAGTGTCCCTACTCTGATTTATAGTCACCTGATGCTCCCAAAGGACCTCCCTGGCCCTAGAATCCCTTTACCTGCAGCCATTGATTAGCACGCTGAGGCAGCGCCGCAGACACACATAGCGCACTGTGAGTTGAATCTCGCCCAGCTGCTGTCGCCTGAGGTCTCCGCCTCTGTAAAGAAAGAGCCCGTCACTTCTCTTGCTGTAACAGGCATTGGCCCTCTTCCCCCACCCCAAAAGACAAAGCATTCCTGCTTGAGGAGCATAGAGCCATGTGGGATAATAATTTGCAGTGAGTTTACTTTCAGTTGGAACTGGAATTCAGTTCCATCCAGCATTCATGTATAATTATCCTACTTCGCAGTAGGAAGAACGGGAACCCTGAAGTGGGATCTGCCTTTGTATCATGATTCCTTTTGGGGCCTTGAATGAATTTATTAAACTTTTATGATAGTTCCATCTTGTAGGGTTATTGTGAAGGTTGAATTAAATCAGATAACATGCTAAGCCCATAGTAAACCCTTCATAAATGTCAGCCATTTATTATGTAATTCTACATATTAAGCTTTCCATGTCATCCCAGTATAACTCTTTAGAATTCAGGAAATGGTTCTGCTGGAAGGGACCTTACCAACCAGAGTCCAGCATCTATTTTATAGTCAGTGTACAGCTAGAGCCATAACCAGCCTGTTGGCTCTCTCTCCCTCGTCCTGTGTTCTTTCTACCACACCATGCTGCCTCTTAGGAAGATATTTTGTGAAAAAACAACTTGCACAGAAATGTAAGTTCATATCTACTTTTCCATCCAGTGAGGTATTTTTCATACAGACCATTTTAGAAAAGATTAAGCAGAGAGGTGCATACTCAATGTTGAGGCTGCTATCTGCCAGGTCAAAGCAAGAAGAGGCCAAGGAGTTGAGCGAGGACATGCTGGGAGGCAGCCTCTTGGGCGGCCATGCGAATGGGGAGGCAGGGCATTTCATGGGCCTGGGTGACTTGATGGGCCCTGGAGAGTGGGGACCCGGGACAGTCAGGAAGATGGTGGCTGAACTCTTCTTCTCCCCCATGGGCTCACAGAACCTTTTGGCACTGTCCTTGCCTTTAGGCTCTGGGCCTGTCTCTTGGGGTGTGGGCTCAGTGGCAACGGTGGTAGCACTGGTGGTGGTTGTGGTACTCTTGGATGTGTCCTTAGTACCATACGCAGGGTCTGGGGGACAAGGCAAATCTGTAGGGCCTTCTTCCTGAGGTGGGGCTTTGGGATCCTGGTTGGTAGCCACCTTCTTGATGAGCAGAGGGCCTTTCTTTAGGGCTTCAGGTCCTGTGTATGGGCTCCCCAGCTCTCGTTCCTCCACTCGCAGGAACTGCAAGCAGATAAGATAGATAACAGGGTGGCTTATGAGCTGGGTCACCACTTCCACAACCTCAGCCATTGTTTCTCATTCTCCCTTTCCCTCAGTTGTGAATTATAAAGACCCTTCCTAGGGAACGTCCATTTCCAGTAACATATGGTATTCCAAACATTCTGAAAAACTTGTTAGAAATGCCAAATAAAATGAAGCAAACATCCTTTGAAATGCATAGCCAAATTCACAAGAAAATAAGGATAATTCCGTTTAAAAAAGAAAAAAAATCTAAAAAATAAAAGTTAAGCTTTGCTAGGGTTGTATATCAACCTTGGAATTCAGGGAGTTAGGAGAAGAGAGGCTGTGAGGCTAGGAGCTGAAGGGAAGATCCATGAAGGTGGGATCTCTTTAGTTAAAAAAGTAGTTTAGGATAAAAATTATTCTGCCTACCGGCAAAGACTGATGACAAGAACATGTGTTTGTCACAGCCTGTACTCTGGTTGAGGGGACAAAGTCTTCCCTAATAACATGACACCTCATAGGCCTGTCCTCATAGGAATTTTGAGTATAAATATGAGCTACCTATGGCATCTTGAAATCCAAAGTTAAGAAATGTACATAAAAATGGACTCAGGTTTGTAATGCACCTGAGGTACTGCGCTGCAGCAAAAGCAGAAACTCCTTGGAAGAAAACAACCTCAATCCAGGTCATAAAGGAACACTGAACATATGTTTGCAATCCAAGTTATGAAACAGAAATGAGTCACCATCAAAAAGCATCAACAGACAAAACAAACATCAAAATTCCCAAGATCTTCAAATAATAGTACATATTAATACATTGTAACATATTTTCAAATGACCAAAGATGGAATATAAACATGAGAAGATAATAAAATGCTATGAGAAAATATCAAATAGATTTGGAAAAGATAAAAATAGAAATGAAAAATCACCAATGAAAAAACCATGAACAGGTTAAACAGCAAACGAGGCATAGCCAAAGAAAGAATTAGTGGCCTGGAAGATAGCTCTGAGGGAATTAGAATGTACCACCATGAATACAGAGATGGGAAATATTTAGGTGAGGTCAAGAGACATGAAGAATAGATGAGAAGGTACATTATAGAAAATTCTAGAAAGAAGAATTTGAAAAGAATGGAAGAGAGGCAATACTTGAAGAGCCACTCTCTCTTCAAATACTGATTCAGTATTTCAAAATTGATGAAAAACATGAATCCATCTCCTGGCTTCTTACAGGCATAGAGCAGGTGCTTAGTGCTGGGACAGTTCACCCTGCTCCACTGCCAGAGCTCTATTCCTTCCCTCCCCCAGGGGACAGGAGAGATTTACCCGAAGCACCAGCCTCATGGAGATGAGGCTATCCAGGCCTGAGTGGTCCAGCTGAAAGCGCTGCTCAAGAGTGAGGTCAGCATAGGGGAGGATCTGGCACAGGGGGACGTCCAGCGTTCCCAGAGCACACTCCTGGTCATCATCAAGCACCTGGGCAGTGGGCCAGTTACAAAACAAGAGGATAACCAAGCCCCAACCACACCACACCACTACTAGTATCTGGGCCCCAGCCAAGTTTGGGTTTACTTCAGTCTGTACTGTGCTTCTATGGGCATCTGGTCCTATTCTGAAAACTAGAATGGGATCAGGCCAGACCTGATCCTTGTCTTCTGTCAGGGAAGATACTGACTCAGAGTAAGAGGCAATTATGATCTGTATGAGCTAGTCTGTTAAATGCCCAGAGCCAGGGGGCTTTGGGGACTGATGAGCTGTGCTGCTCTCCAGGCAGGGCTCAGGACCCCAAAAGATCCCAGCTCCACCACTTGTTGGTCATGAGATCTTGGACAAGATATTGTTTTTGCCTCTCTCTGCTCGCTCTACAGATCTTTTGTGAGGATTAAATGAAATATATGTTTTTTAAAGTGTACCATTATTAATGTTCTGTGTAGATTCCAGCACAGGCTTCTCTGGATGCTGTGTAGCAAATATAAAGACCCTTTTGCAGGGAAAGTCGAGGGACTTGAGGATTTATCCTCCCACATCCCCCTATACAATGACCTCAGGCACTAGCCTCAAGGAGATGAGGCCTTATGGGGCCTCAGTGTCCTCTCTCACATAAAAGGGCCTGACTTTAAACACTGCCAGGAGAACCTGCTCAAGGTGCACTTCAAGCTTCCCACCCCGCCTGGCTTAGAAACCTCTTAACTCTGTTTCAAGAGCCCATCGTCCAGCAAACCTTCAGATGGAGCTGCTCAGTGGCCACATTGTGCACAAAGAAGGAGAAAACCTGGCTCCAGACAGGGTCCTTGTTGTGGGGACAAGTCTGGGAACAGAAGAGGGAGAGTTCATTGAAGGGTTAGGTTGGGCAGAGCTGGATACCGGCACCCTCTGCTACCACTCTGGCCACCATTGGGAACCTTACCTATTTGCCCTGAGATCAGACCCAAACACACTACAGCTAGTGGGGGGCACTAGGACAGGACAACCACACTCAAAGGCAGGGAGTGGTCTGCCAGGAAGTTTTACAGGGGAGCTGAAAATCATATTGGCCTTAGAGCTCACTTCAGGAGAGGAGAGGCCAACAGAATTTCGGCTGCTGGACTGGGAAAATTCATGATTGGTGGAAAGGACACAGGCTTCAGAACCATGCCCACACTTGAACCCTAGTTCCATGTCCTTGGTCAAGCCATTTATCTCTGATCCTCAGATTCTTGAATTATAAAACTATTCTGTGAGGTTATTCTGAAGACTAAATAACATCAAGTGCCGCCTAGGCATTCACCATAAGTTAATTCCCGTCCCTTTTGCCTCTCTCCCTGAGAAGGGCTGGGTCCTTGTTTCCTTACCCCAGGGCTACCACCAAGCTGTCTTACCTTACTTGTATGTGTCTTCTTGCCTACAGATAGTTTGACATAGGAAGAAGGGTCTTTGCTGACCTTGTTCTGTGAGGAATCAAATCCATAACAGTGAAAGTGGCATAGTCAGAATCAGCTTGAGACAGTCCTACCCCCAACCCCCAGGAGCATTTGGGGGAACTGGGACCACCCAATTACTTCTCTTTGAGAGAAAGCTACTCTAATGCCCCAGTCCCCTGGGCTGTCATTACTGTGTAAGCCCCAGGACAGGACCAACCCCAGAAAGCAGTTCCAAGTTAAAAGACCAGAAGCCAGAGCTGGGCCTGGCCAGGCACAGCCTCTTGTTCCCTGGGGCTATGAAAACAGAGTAGAATCAAGTTTTGGCTCCTCCTCTTAGCTGTGCGACTCAAAAAATTGTAATAAAAATGAATGACACAGTCATCATGAGACTCGGGGATAACAAATGTGGGGGATGAGTTGCCAAGCCTAGTGCCTGGCACACACTAGACTCCATAATCAGCACCTCTTGTTATCCCTAGGCTGTGTGTGCACAGACTGTGGCCCAGAAGACACGGGGTTGTGGTTACTCTGGGGAGAGAAGCTGTGATACGCCCTCCCTGGAGTTTTTAGCCACATACTCACTCACTCTGGCAAACCTGGAGAGTTTTTTGGCTCGATATTCACCATTCAGGTAGTCAAAAGGGTTTCTCTGAAGCACAGGAATAACGGGGTTAAAGCAACACAGGACAATTTGAAAGTGATGGGCACTTTGTTGTGTATGTGTGACACTCTGGACATGTCACTACTCACCGGCAAGTTGCAGGCGCTCTCCAAGAAGACCACGAGAATGGCAGTGGAAAGGCCACCATGGTCCTGCAAACAGACACAGACCCTCACTGGGTACTCCCAGCAGCAGGAGAGAAAGACTGGTTTTGGAGAAGCCTACTCATGGCAGAAGAAAGTCAGCTAGCCTTCACACTCCAGACTAGCTGCCGGAGGACATCTCACAACCTAGCCTTTTGTTGAGGTTAGGAATATAACTGGTGCGTGACAGATTCAAGTTAGACACTGAGTGGATTTCCCTGTGAACTGGGAGGACAGGCATTGTCACAGAGTTCTGAGGACCCCATCATCTAAAGATGATGGAGATGCTCAGAGGACATTTGCTGAGAGCCATCAGGAGCTGCCCTGTGTGGAGACGGGCTGAGTGACATGTTCTTCAGGAGGTGAGCAAGAACAGGGGGCATCATCTCCCTCCCTTCCTTCCACCTGCACACAGCTCGCACGTGTGCGCCTCCACCTTTCTGCTAGGGAGCCCTTGACACCCCACACTCACCTCGGTCAGAGCTTCCTGGTCGGTAAGCAATGAAAGCCACTCCAGCCGCAGGTGCAGCTGCCCGCTGGTTGTGTCATTCAGGACAAACCACTGTGGGGCAGGGGCGGAAAGCTCAGGGCAAGGGCCAGGGAGATGCTACTGATGCTCTCTGGGCAGCCCAGTCCTGGGACCTGGTATCCTAGTAGGGACAGGGAAACCCAGTCCTAGTATGGGAAAAGGACGACCAGCCCAGACAGGGTATGCTCTGGGCTCAGAGGGACTGGGAGATGTGGTTATAGGAAGACAGAAGTGCTACGCTGTGGGATTAAAAAAAACCCAGGCCCAGCCTGCCCTCCCCTATAATGTGACTGTCCCCTGCTGGGGTCCTTAGTCTGTGGGTATTTCCCAGGGAAACTTCTTCCAGCCGGGGCCCTGGAGAATACCCTGGGGAGTTTCCTGGAGCCATCAGTGCCTCACCCAGCTCTTGCCCTGAGGAGGGACATGTGTGCAGCCCAGCACAGAGGGGGCCACAGCATAGGAATAGCTGGGCTGAAGCAACCTGCTAGAGATGTCCACAGGAAAGGGCTACCTTGAAACTCCCCCGAGGGTTGCAAGCACCAACTGTACCTCATCCACCACTCTGTTGGTCATGACATCTCCAAGGCAGATCTGCAGGCTGGAATATATAGGGAGAGGAGAATGGGTCAGTTCTGAGGAAGCAAGCAGCAGAGGGCATGGAGGCCCACACTGGACTCGGTTTTCAGATATCTGAGTGCGGCCATTAAGACAAAATCTTACTCACCCCAAGGAACCAATGGGAGACCAGCATCAGCTTGAGTGAAGGAAAGACTACCTACCATCAGGGCTGCTCCCATTGGGTGTGCTACCCGGGGAGGAAAGGAGCTCCCATACCGAGAGGGGATAAGCAGAGGCTGCTGGACACATCACCTCTGGATTTCTCAATGACAGTGCAACTAGCATTTTGAGTGAGATGATTCTTCATTGTGCAAAACTACCCATGCATTGCAGGAATTTGGCCTCCTGGTCCTATGCCCTTTAAATGCCAGAGCACTACCCCTCACAGCCATGTTAATAACCCCAAATGCCCCTTCATTTCCAAAACCACCCCAGGTGCCCTACAAGGGATAAGTATAGTTGGCATGTGATGTAGTTTGGATGTCTGTCCCCTCCAAATCTCATGCTGAAATGTGATCCCCAACATTAAAGGTGGGCGGGGCCTAGTGAGAGGCGTTTGGGTCACGGGGGCAGATCCCTCATGAATGGCTTGGTGCCCTCCCCACAGTAATGAGCTCATGCAAGATCTGGTTGTTAAAAATAAGCTGGGACATTCTCACTCTCACTCCTCTTGCGCTCTCTCTCTCTCGCCATGTGACATACCTGATCCCCCTTCACCTTCTGCCCTGAGTAAATGCTGGCACTGTGCTTCATGTACAGCCTGCAGAACCATGAGCCAGATAACCCTATTTTCTTTATAAATTACCTGGCCTCGGGTATCCTTTATAGCAACAAAATATGGGCAAACACAGCATGTGTGTGTGAGAGGAGGTAACACTCTCACCACAGCTTGCCCCTAACTCACCCTGAGCCAAGCCCAACCAGAAGGTCCTGATAGCCAGAGGGGAAAATGTAATTCTATATAACTGTAAGAAATGTGCTTAAGCTCAAAACACACCTGAAATCAGTTATTAATACATAAAGCATGACCCACAAGCCACACTTCTAATCTGCAACATTACAAAAATTGCAACTGTTTCAAGATAAAAATACAAAATGATAAGCAACATCTAGTGGTGAATCTATGTGTGTTAACATCCAGGCTAATACACACAGATTCTGCGTGTTTCTTAAACTGTCAGATTGTGTCCCTCCCAGTTTGGTTTCCACTTTTCAAAATTACATGATCATGGAAACAAGCTAAACAACACAGGAATCTGAAAATGTGGGTGAAACTGCCTTTTCTGCTTCCTCATCTGATAAGCGGTGTTAACAGCCTGCCTTTCTCTGCTAACATGAACACATGCAGAAATACGCATTCAAGGTTCCTCTCCCATTTGAGGATGACTCAAATGACATGTTATGCCCAGCTGCTCTCCCCCACTTCGTAATGGGTGTCCTCCGGGTTAAGACACAGAGATTCTACTTGTTTTTCAGAGCTGCAGAATATTCTGTAGTTTGGCAATCGAAAATTTATTCAAACATTCAGCCAATGTCCTCTGAGGTTAGATATTCATTTCGGGGATGGGGGTGTTGGTTTTCTTCTATGGATAGTTCTGTAATAAACATTTCAGATACTAGGGCTTTTATTTTATAGGAGATCCTGGAAGTGGGACTGCTGGATCAAAATATATGTAAGTTTTAAGTTTTGATAGCCAGCCCCACCCTGATCATTTTAGTTCTCCCATACCCCTGAAGGGCTGAGTTCTACCCCCTAAAGCATGGCCCAGGGTTCCTTAGAACTGGGCATCTGGCCATCCGTGCCAGCCTTGTCCACTACTCCAAATGGGGACTTCATACATTATCAAGAAGGCAGAAAGCAGAGCCATAATATACAAATCTTGGGGTCCTCTCTGTACCTCCCAGGGCCTAGGTCAGGGCTGGGCACTTGGGAGACATCTGGGAAGGTTTGTGGTAGGAATGTAGAATGGTGAGGCAGGTTGCCTGGCACAGTCACCATGTCAGGGTGACCAGAGAGGATTGCTAGTCATTAAGAGGTAGGAGCAGGGTATTTATGTCCCAAGGCCCAGCCCAGCACCCTACAGGGAGGGAAGGCTGCCTCCAGGCCCAGCTGTGCGCCCTCCTCCTCACCTGCCCAGGAAGTCATCCCTGTCGGTATCCTCATCATACAGGTCTACCTCCAGGTCCTGCCCAGGGACTTCGTACACCATGAACTGGAAGGAAAAAGAGGTGTCGTGACCTGCAGGCAACAGCTGACCTTATGTATGACCCAAGGGGAGCCAAATCGTGGCTCAGAATGCTAGCAGGGTCCTGATCTCCTCAGTGCCTCGAGAACCCCACCCATAAGGGAGTGAAGTCCCTCCCCTGTGGGGGGAAGAGAAGATTAGAGAAAACATGTGTAAGCCATGGCAGAGCAGGTGCCCAGGAGACAGTGGCTGTTTGTTCTGCATGGGCTCTGTGGTGTCCAGAGCACCTCTTCATGACATTCTCGTGCCCCTCTGTGGGTCTGCAATACCAGGAAGCTCCAAGCTGCCTTTTAGTACCCCTGCTTTCACTGCCTCACCCCAAATGTAACAGAGCATCCAGATGGTGTATTAGGAGGGGAAGTTCAGAGGGGTCACCTAGGATGTGTAATCTGGGGGCCTTAACAGGCTGTGGGTCCCACCCTTCAAACAGTAGGGATTGTGGTTGAACTTAAGGAAGAACTTCAGGATCCTGATGTTTGACTGACAGGGGAGGTTGAGAGGAGTGGAGCAGAAATGCCTCTAAGGCTCTTTCTCTTTGATTTGGAAACTTCTTACAAAATTGGAAGGGGAAAGGAGGTAGGAATTTACCTTCAGGCTGGCCCTTTAGTCGGGCCAGAGTAACCTACTCTGGAAGCCTGGTAGATAAGGGAGCGGGAATCCCACAGACCTGCCTGTCTCCAAGGCCTACTCCCTGCCTAGTGTTGCCCCTGGATTGCCTCTGCCCAGCATGACTCAGAGTGAAGGCTGGAGGGTATCAAGGGATTCAAGGGATTCCAGGAGCAGCCAAGAAGACCCTTACCTCAAACACCTCATTCCAGGTGGGGTTCAGGTTCCTGTAGATGGTTCTACTCCGGAAATGCTGCAGGCCAATGCTCACCTTGGCGTAGGGATCTGACTTGCCTCGGAGCCCCAGGAAGTTGTCCTTCTGGGCCAGCTTCTCTGCCTCCAGCAAGTGCACTCTGATCACCCCCTGGAAAATGTCCAAGCCCAGGGCTCACAGCTGCTTCCTGGGGCCTCCAAGTCCTGGAGTATCAGAGCTAAAGCCATCAGAGATCACTGCTTCCCCCACATTGCCCCCTCCATGGTCTGGACCGGGAGATAGAAGCCAGATACGGCAGTGACCTGGCCAAGGCCACACAGCAAGTGATGGCAGGGCTCTCTCCATCAGTATGCCCTGCCCACAGCCCTGGCCTCCCCACTCCCTACCTCCAAACTGCCACATGAATGGCTTACACAACTGCAGCTGTTCATCTCCCTCCTGTGCCAACAATCATGACACCTAAGGAAGCTTCCTCCTTTACTCTAGTCCCCTCTGTTGTGTGTCCTACATGTAGACTTCTACAAGGGAGTTCTAGCATCCCTTCTCCTGGCCCCTGTGGGCAATGCCGGCTGCTGACAGGAGGTCCCTGCACTCCTAAAGGCCCCAACACTGCACCTCATCCCCACCACACTCTGGACTGTGCTATAGGGCAGACCTTCCCCCAACACTTGCATGGACAGATGTTTAAAAGGAAATGAAAGAGATATAACTCTGTTAAAAATAAAGACAGGAGCACAGGAATTAGGAAAGGCATAGTTCATGGGCTTTGAGGTATATCTCCTTCCTAGAATTTTTTTTTAATATTAGTAAATACATATGCATTTACTCTTTGACCCAGAAATCCCACTTCTAGGAATCTGTCCCAAGGGCATACTAGCAAAAATATAAAGACATGTATGCAAGGCTATTTATTACACTACTATTTGTAATAGTGAAAGACCCAACACAACATAATGGTCCATCAATAGGAACTGTGTTGAATAAACTTCAGTACATTCCCATAGTGAAGTACTTTGGAGCTCTTAAAAAGAATGTGGAAGATCTCTACACTATCGTGGCATGATCCCCATGACACACTCAGTGTTAGAAGCACACTGAGGGCCAGGTGCAGTGCTTACACCTGTAATCCCAGCACTTTGGGAGGCCGAAATGGGCGGATCACCTGAGGTCAGGAGTTCGAGACCAGCCTCGCCAACATGGTGAAACCCAGTCTCTACTAAAAATACAAAAATTAGCCAGGCTCGGTGGCATGTGCCTGTAGTCCCAGCTACTCAGAAGGCTGAGGCTGGAGAATCACTTGAACCTGGGAGGTAGAGGTTGCAGTGAGCCAAGATCGTGCCACTGCATTCCAGCCTGGGTCACAGAGCAAGACTCCCCACCACCACCTCCCCCCAATCCCCTCCTCAAAAAAAGCACACTGGGGAAAACTGTACTATGCTGCCATCTATCGAAGAAAGGGGGAATTTGAATATAAGCAAATATGTGTCATATGACCATATATATTTGTTCATATTAAGTAACAATGGCCAGGTGTGGTGGCTCATGCCTGTAATCCCAGCACTTTGGGAGGCTGAGGCAGGCAGATCACTTGAGCCCAGGACTTTGAGATCAGCCTGGCCAACGTGGCAAAACCCTGTCTCTACAAAAAATACAAAAATTAGCCAGGCGTGGTAGTGCACACCTGTAGTCCCAGCTACTCGGAAGGCTGAGGCAGGAGGATTGCTTGAGCCCAAGAGGTGGAGGCTGCAGTGAGCTGTGATTGTGCCACTGCACTCCAGCCTAGCTAGGCAACAAAGCAAGACTCAATCAATCAATCAGTAAAATGGAAGGATAAACTATTACTTATAAGTGAAGGGTGGGGAGTAGGTGGAGGGAACAAGGGATAGAAGCCAGACTCCTTAAAATGTAATTTGTTTTTTAGTTGAACTTTGTAAGCGTACAACTACTTTACATACTTGTAAAAGGAAGTTAAGGTAAAAAACCCTAAAAATGGAGAATAGAATGAAACAAGTCAATGTAAATATTCATGGCCAGTTGTCACAAACAGGAAATATTCCAAGTAAGTTTAAAATGCAATAAATTTGACACCACCTCCCAACTGGGATACACCCCAAGGACAAAATGTCTTTAGTAATTATGACGTGGGCAATGGGGTTTGTACCGTTATTCTGGGACCGTCAAGCATTAGTGTGAAATAAAGCCAATGCACCACATGTGAAGGCTGGGAGGATATTTGCGCTGCCTCCCAGCAGGCTGGTCTGTGGCCAGTACTGGCTACTCACGCAGGGCAGAGGGAAGCGCAGGTTGGTCAGATCCAGCCCCTTCTTCACAGGCACAGTCACACGGTTAGGCAGCACCAGGTGGGCAGCAATGAGGTCCTCCAGCAGGCTGTCTGACACCTCACTGGACACAAGGCAGGACCAGCTGTGGAGGGGTGCCACTGCCTCCCCCATGCCACCTGCCACTCCATCCCTAGCAGAAACCAGGAGCCCAGCCTGGTAGGGTGGGCCCCACCTACAGAACAGCCCTGACCCCACTTGCCTGAGTAGGGGTGGGTGTGCCTATATATCGTGACAGCCCCTGACATTGTATCTCAACAGCAGTCCTCCCACCTACATGTGCCCGACTCCCTCTGCCTCCAGGCTACTTTGTTTTTGGAGGTCACACAGCACGGTGGCTAAGAACAAGGCTGGTGCCTGTGTTAGAATCTCAGCTCCACCACCGACTAGCTGTGTGGCCTTGGCAAGTCGCTAACCTCTCTGGACCTCAGCATCCTCACCTCTAATCTGGGGCTAAAAATGCATGTTCCTGGGGTTGTTTGTTGCCTGACTCCACCTCCTGGTACTGGGGGTCAGGGATGGTGCCTGGAACAGGGCTGGCACGGTGTAAATGCTCAGTAAATACTTTTAGAATAAAGGAACGCATGCCTGGATTCCCTTTGTCCAGTGTGGGTGAGATCCATGCAGATGCCAGTGAATGAGTGAGTCAGCGGCCCTCCCGAGCCTGACGAGCCAGCCGGTGCCAGCCCTGGCCAGTCTAACTGTCCCTTCCTCCTGGGGAGGTGTGTCCAATAGGGCTGGTGCCCTTCTCTGCTCCTCTTATGGGGCCTGGGGCTCTGAGAGGAGCCTTCACTTGCCCCCCGATGGTGAACTCTCTAGGACCAGCTGCTCCTCACTGGCCTCTGCTGTGACAGTGCCCCTTCCATGCCTATGTTTGTGACCACGGTCAGGGGAAGTCACATAGGCTTCTCACCACACATTTGGTTTGGGAGGGAGGAAAAAAGGAGGACACTCGTGTGTCCACACCCAATGTGCCGCCACCGCACAGCTGAGTGTCCTCCGAGGGACCCAAGGCAGAGGAACCAGGCTCCCCTTTTACTGAGGAAGAGCCCAGAGAGGTGAAGCAACTTCTCCACATTCACTCAGTTGCTAAGTGACAGAGCCAGGAGCTGGCTGCCTCTGGTTCTACAGCCACCACACAGCCTCCCCTCGGACCACATCTCAGCAGACACAGCCACTCTCCCCAGCACCAGGACGGGGACCTGAACGTCAGCCCAACATTCAGCAAAGGACTTCTTGCCTACTACATGGGGGGGTGTGTGTGTGTGTGTGTGGTGTGGGCGGGGGGTGCGCTGGCACAGTGCACACCCACAGAGGCCACACAACACCGTTAGCCTCCCACTCCCACTCGCACTTCAAACAGACCAATGCTTCTCCCTCCGCAGGGAGCACCAGGAGGCAAGGCACCACCATCACACAGCTCCTGTCACTGGCTGCAGAGCCCTGGAGGCCCCCACACTTACGATCTCCCTCGAGGCTCTCTCAGGCACCTACTTGATTCCCGGTGCATCCAGCAGGTTGGTCAGGCCAGTCCAGTTGATCTGTAGGTGCTTCAGGGGCAGAGGGAAGCTATTAGTCTGGAAAGGGCTGGTAGCCCAGGGCTGAGAACCCCCTGCCAAGAGCCTCACACCCACGTGCATGGAGAACCCAGCCTGTCCGGGTGGGGGTTCTGGGGAAAGCAGGCAGAGCACCCTCTGCCAGGGTGTCAGGCAGGTGAGGCCACCTTCCAGCCCAGCTCAGGCATCTAGCGGTATTGAGGGCCCAGGCCTCAGCTCAGGATGGGGCAGGGGTTGTGGAACCTGCTGCTTCCTGGGCAGAACCCCCACAGGAGTGGGACCGTCCACATGGCCACAGGCTGGCCTGGACTTTGAAAACTCTGAGTGTGAGCCTTGGCTCCAATTCAGACCGTCTGTGTGACCTTCTCTGAGCTCAGCTGCCTCATCTTGGGGAGGGCAGAGTCTAGCTCAAGCTGCCTTAAGGATTAAATGAGATAAGGAGTGCGACTGCCCAGGTCTCGGTGGGCTTGGACAATGTCCATTCTTGGGCTCCAACCCAATGTCTAGGGCCCAGCAGACCAGTGCCTACTCCCGGGGAGCAGCAGGCTTACCGCAGTCCCTGGGACTCACCGGCTTCTGAAGGAAGAACACAGTCACGGCTCCCACGAAGGGCTTGTCCACTAGGAGGGGCTCCAGGATGACCCGCAGGGTGCCCTGCAACTGGATAGGCACAGAGGGCCCGTGAGGGGCCCAGGCCTCCTTTCTCCCCATGTCTGCTGGGCTTAGCTGAGGCCATCTGCTGCCTCATTTCATGCCCATGCTGCCCCACATGTCAGGACCACCCGCCCCAGGCTGCCTGCGCTCACAGCAGGAACCATACTTAAGGTGCCGAGGCCTGGACACAGCTGCCACCTCTTGCCAGCTACCAAGGGGCCCTGAGCTGGCCCCACTGCCCTCCACACGTGTGCTGGCCTGAGAGACCTATAGCCTTTGCCAAGTTTTGGGCTGGCCCAGTCAGCAAGGACCCAGGAATGATTTCCAGGCCCAAATCAGCTCCTCTACTCCCGCCGAGAGTTATTTTCACCTCCTGGGTCCACCTCAGTCTGTAAGCAATGGCTTTCCATCGCTCCATGAACAGCACCTCTCTCCTCACCAGGCAGCCAAAGCCTCTCCAGGGCCTCTGCAGTCAGATGAGGCTGGGGGTCTCTAGAGCACAGTAGTGGGTTGGTGAAGCCCCGCCACCACTTCCTGGCCGTGTGACCCTCAGGCCTACAGCTCCTCTGTAGTCACCATCCTCTGTGTTTAGTGTCGCCACCGCCTTCTGCAGCCTACTCTGGCATGACCCGGCTTCCCCTTCCCTGATCCCCACCCTGGGGGCTGAAACAGAGGCGGCCCCACCGGGCTCCACCCACCTGGATCCCGTTCACACCAGCCTGAATCTTCTGCAGCTCCACACTGATCTCACAGTCCCCGATGTAGCTGAAATGGGGGGTGGAGAAGGAAGGTGGGGAGGAGGGACAGGTCCACCTGCTCAGAGAGGTTGGGAAACTTGCCCAGTGTCACACAGCCTGAGCCCAGGCAGCCAGCTGCCAGCCCTGAGCTCTGTGTACTGGGCACATGGCCTAGTAACCTCAGCCTTTCTCTGCTCTGCTCAGACCTGACCCAGACCCTGATCCAAGCCCAGACCCCAGGAGGCAGCCCCTGTGCGCCCCTGCATTCAGGTATCCCAGGTGTATCCTCATCTCTGACCATGACAGCAGGGACTCTAGGCACTCACCTCACCCCACAATACCCTGAAGATGAAAAGGAGGGGCTCTTGATAAACACACTGCCCACCTTTCCACCCCTGTTGTCCCCCTGTCCCATCTCTGCCCAGGTGTCTTTCATGGGGACACAGAAGCAGCCCCCACTGCATACATCCCAGGTGCTGCTGGGGCTGGTGGAGGTGGGCAAAGGTAACAAGGCCTCAGGCTTCAGCACACAAGCCCGAGTCCATCCAGTGGCTCTTGCCAGGTGATGGGCACAGGGAGCTCAGAATGGGTGCCCTTGAGGGTAAAGATCAGCAGATCCTGTGAAAGCACTGAAGGAGACTCGGGAGGGAGAGGGCAGCCAGCACACATGCGCAGGGCACAGGCAGAGGAGCCCAATGTCACAAGTTGTGCAAAAACTGAGTGCCTCTTGAAAGGGCAGGAGTGAGTCAGACAGGGGAAATGGGGATTGCGGGAGCTGCCTGGGCAGCTGAGTGGGCCACACAACCTCGATGTGCCCTATTTCTACAAGGATCTCATGGCACAGCCCCAGGGGCTGGGAGCGTCTCATAGCCTGTCACCATCCCAACACACTTGGGACCAGCCCCCAAATGGGGATGGGTGGTCCGAAGAACTGGCTCCTATCTTCCCAACATGCTGTCTAGGCTAAGGACAGAATGAGACATGGGAAAGGAATGGCAACACTCTGGATCCTCAGAAGTTTGTCCTTTGTCTTTTTAGTGCAAATCTTGCCACTTCCAGGAAGGCTTCCTGGACTGAATCTCCCTTCTTCCTGACTCACTCCTATTATGAACCTCATTTCAAAGAGATACCCTTGCCCAACCCCCTGAATTAGTCACTTATGTGTCTTTGCATTCTCTATTTTCCTGAGGTGCCACAGAGCCCAGGTCTCCAGCTGACCTCTCACAGCCTGTGCTTAGAGCTCCCTGGGCCTCACCATGAGTCCTCACATCTTCTTGTCACACTTGCTCCCACCAGACACATCCTCTCTGAGGCAGCTGGTCTAACCCTCCAAGTGACCCAGCCCTGGCTTCCAAGAAAGCTCTGCTGCCAGGCCTTGGAACCCAGAGTATGCCAGGGGATGGGAGAAGCTGGGAGGAGGGGAGCGTCCTGTGAGGGGTTCTACATCCCAAGTCAGAGTGTATATAAACTGGCTGTTCCCACAGAGTGTCCCCTTCACCCCCTGAAACCTGTACCTGGCCCGATAGAGCTCACCAGATCTGCAGGTCCACAGTCACACGCCTTCGGTTGCACTTGTTAGTATGTGCCTTGACACCGTTGACCCTGGGGCACTGGAAGAAATGCCAACAGGGCTAGGTCAGATGCTTCTTGCAGCAGGGGACAACTGCCAGCCCTTCCCCCGGCACTGGGCTTTATCAGCAACAAGTATGACCACCACGATGAGGCACAGACATGTAAATCTATCCTGCAGCCCAGAGACTTCCCTCCCTAGAATGTGCCCCCTCCTTTCTCTCCCTTCCTGCCACGACTCACACAACCACAGAGTGGCCCTGAGGCCAGGCCTGTTGTTCATGCCCGATAGCAAACTCTGGAAGTGGGTCCTTTCCCTTTACACGTGAGGAAACTGGAGCTTAGAGAAGTCAAGTCACTGGCCCCACAGCACAGGGTGGAGCTGGGCATAGGCATGGGAACTGGAGGAAGCTGGCAGTACTCACGGGTGTGAATGAACGCTTATGGCAGCTGAAAAAAATAATGTTTATGGGTGTGTGAAGAAAGGGGGTGTGGTGAGTGCACTGGGTCCTGGCCAAGCCCAGGAGGGTCATGTGAGGAGTCCTCTGTGACCCCACAATGGAGAGGAGGGGACATGTGGGGAATGGAAGAGCAGAGGGGAGGAGGGAGGGGCCAGGACATGAGAGCGCTGAATGCCAGCATCAGGAGGCAGGTGTTTCTCCTGCAGGGCTGGGACGTCTGTTCAGCCTACAGCTTTCCCCTCCAGGTGCTTCTGATGTGGTAAATATCACTTCTTAGGATTGCTTGCCAGCAGTGCCGCATCCCATAGACCAAAGGTCCGCAATCTTTTTGGCACCAGGGACCAGTTTCTTGGAAGACAATTTTTCCACAGACCGGGGGTGGGGTGGGAAATGGTTTTGGGATGAAACTGTTCCACCTCAGATCATCAGGCATTCGAGTCTCATAAGGAGTGCGTGACCTAGATCGTTCACATGCACAGTTCACAGTAGGGTTTGTGCTCCTATGAGAATATAATGCTGCTGCTGATCTGATGGGAGGCGGAGCTCAGGCGGCAATGCTCGTCCTGGCTGCTGACCTCCTGGTGGGTAGCCTGGTACTGAGAGCTGGGGATCCCTGCCATAGATACAACCACCAGAGGAGCAGCCTGGCTGAGCAGGCTCTGCTGTGAACACAGCACTCTGCAAGCTTCTTGGCTCTTAGCCTGCTGAATTCTTCAAAACCCAACTGAGCCATCACCGTTTCCTGGAAGTCTTCCCTGACTCCCACAGCCCCTCCACCCCTCCATTTCTGAGCTCGCATTCCTCTGCCATCATGCACGCGTATACTGCCATGTCGTAATCCACAGGTTGATGTGTTCCACCCACAGAAGGGGTGCAGCCACACCCAGCTCTATAATGCCCAGCACACAGCACGTGCTCAGTAAGTCACAGGTGAATGAAACAAGAAATGAATGCATGAACCAACAGATGCTGGCACAAGCCAGTTTGAGTGGCAGAAATCCCAATCTCCAGGGCTCAGGCCTGCCTAATCCACCCCTGCCCAGGGGCTAGCCAGGCAGGGCTGGCACAGCTCTCAGCAGGCTGGCCTGTACTTGGACACCTGCTCGTTGCTGGGAAGACCAGATGCCAATGCCTCTCATTTACTAGGTCACAGTGGTCTCTGGCTGGGGGATACATTTTGGATGATCAAAAGAATCAAGTCACTGGGGGCACTTCGAGGCAGGAGGAGTAGGGCACCAAGGCTGAAACACGAAGCCCAGTCTAGACAGGGACCGTGACATTAGGTGTGCTGACACAAACTTCGTTGGCCACAGACCATTTCGTCCTGGGACACCTGCTGATCTTCACAGAACTAGCATGGACTTGTGACACTGAGTGACATAACAGCCAATTAGTGGAGAATATAAAGCGCTTGGCGGCACTGACTACCCAAACCGTGAGCATGTGGTCACCGGCACTGAGGTTAGCAACTATGATTTCCATCTTTCTATCTGTCTGGCTACCACCATAGCATGTCTTCAAAGTTTTCCTTAAGAAAAGTGGAAATACCTCCCACCTCTCCTTTCTGTTCCCTCTGAGCCAGGCTTCCTTGGAACCTGGGGAGATGGTGGTACAGGGATGTGGGGGAAGGGTGTCCACTGAGGCTGACAGGCTAGGAAATGCAGGTGGTGGTGGTGGTGGGGGGCGGGGGGGTGTCACCCTGTAAGGTCCAGTGGGATCTTTGCAGTCATATGACTGACCTGGATGGGGGAAAGGTGGGAGGAGAGGGGACAGAGAAAAGACTGCACAGTCAGCCCAGGCTGACCCTCCCGAGACACACCCACCTTCTGTCCAAAGTAGAGCTTGGTAAAGGTAAAGGTCCTCAGGTGGATGCTCTTCTCCCGGATCTTGGGCTCAAGTTTCTCCCGGAACTTGCTTTCCATGATCATGCTTAGGTAGGGCCAGGTCTGAGAGATGATCTGTGAAGATGGGAAGAGGCCCTTGGTAGTCAGGTCTATACTCCCACCGCAGACCCAGAGCTGCATGGGACAAGGTCCTGATTCTCTGCAGCCTGGTCTTGGGGTGGGGGTTCCTATGCTGCAGCACTCACCTGCCTGCCTGCCCACCCATCTGCTCACCTGTTCACCTGTCTGTCCTTCAAACATCTGATAACTACAGCCGTGGTTCCCACTGTCATGCAGGCAGCAGGACCCCAAGATTTGGTGCTATTCTGCAGAGCACCATGAAATACTCATTCACTACATTTAATATTAGGAAGCCCTTTAGTTCTCTGCTAAGACATGATCTCATTCTACGCTGTAGTTTAAACAAAAAGTAGTAGATGCAAGAAGTTTAAGAACAAAATTACAGAAAGAAAGTTAAATTGTTTCCTGTGGATTTAGTTTTCTAACAATCAGAAAAGGCAGCCTTTGCCCAATTTCTGCAGCAGAATGACTCACTGTGCTGGTTTGGGAACCAAGTGCAGGACCTGAGGAGAAGGAAGATGGCAGAGACAGAGGAGAATGGTGGAAATCAGAGGGGAATGGAGGGAGGGCCAGCCAGCAGGTACATTCTGTTTGGGGCAAGGCTTCTCCATCTTCTTTTTTTTTCTTAAATGGAGTTTTGCCCTTGTTGCCCAGGCTGGAGTGCAGTGGCACAACCTCGGCTCACTGCAACCTCCAACTCCTGGTTCAAGTGATTCTCCTGCCTCAGCCTCCCAAGTAGTTGAGATTACAGATGCCTCCCACCACACCTGGTGACTTTTTTTTTTTTTTTTTTTTTTTAAGTAGAGTTGGGGTTTCACCATGTTGCCCAGACTGGTCTTAAACTCCTGGCCTCAAGTGATCTGTCCACCTCAGCCTCTCAAAGTGCTGGGATTACAGGCGTGAGCCACGGCGCCTGGCCTTTTTTCTTTTAAGACAAGGTCTCACTCTATCGTCCAGGCTGGAGTGCAGTGGCATGATTACAGCTCACTGCAGCCTCGACTTCCCCGGATTAGGTGATCTCCCACCACAGCCTCCTGGGTGGCTGGGACTACAAGCGTGCACCACCACACCTGCTTTTTAATGTCTTTGTAGAGATAGGGTTTCCCTATGTTACCCGAGCTGATGGATGTTGATCCAAGATTGCTATTTTCACATTACCAGAAGTATCGCTGCTGAGTGCATCAAAAAGCATTCCCTAGCCGGGCATGGTAGCACACACCAGGGTGCCAACTTCCTTGGGAGGCTGAGGCAGGAGGATCGCTTCAGCCCGGGGGTTCAAGGCCAGCTTGGGCAACATAGCAAGACTCCATCTCAAAAACAACAGTAACAAAAATAAAACAGAGAACATTCTCAGCCTCTGGGTAAATTCGGAAGAAGCAGGTTGCTGCTTTAAGAGAAGTGACTGGGTTTCTAGGGATTCATGTAGGACCCAGTGCCTCTGGGGCAAACCTTGTAGAGTTCCTTCTGTACTGTGTTAGCTGGTCCATGGATCTCTGCCTGCGTTACATCTTTCTTTCAGTAATACACAGAGGCCTACACAAGGCATTGGAGATACAAGACTGTATCTTTCCTGTGGGCTTGGGCTTCAGTTTAAATATGCATGTCCTTCCTCCATGTGCCCCTTCCAAAGCCATCACTGGAGGAGCCTAAAGGCTGTGAGATTCTAGGGCTCATTGTTCCCATCTCTCTCAAAGGCCTCTCCAAACCCCAGGTTCTACTTCCTCGGGTCTGATCTCATCTTCCTGTCTCGCTGGTTTGTCACTGGCCAAGGGCCTCCTGAGTATAAAGCTCGTTAGGACACACTCGGCGCCCTAGTATGTAGTTTTCCTACACAACTGTCTCTGTCTCCCCATCCAAGACGAAGGTGGGAGCCTCATATCCCAACAGTCTTATATCTCCAATGCCTTGTGTAGGCCTCTGTGTATTACTGAAAGAAAGACGTAACGCAGGCAGAGATCCACGGACCAGCTAACACGGTACAGAAGGAACTCTACAAGGTTTGCCCCAGAGGCACTGGGTCCTGCATGAATCCCTAGAAACCCAGTCACTTCTCTTAAAGCAGCAACCTGCTTCTTCCAAATTTACCCAGAGGCTGAGAATGTTCTCTGTTCTTTTTTTGTTGCTGTTTTTGAGATGGAGTCTTGCTATGTTGCCCAAGCTGGCCTTGAACCCCCGGGCTGAAGCGATCCTCCTGCCTCAGCCTCCCAAGGAAGTTGGTACCCTGGTGTGTGCTACCATGGCCTGCTAGGGAATGCTTTTTGATGCACACAGCAGCAATACTTCTGGTAATGTGAAAATAGCAATCTTGGATCAACATCCATCAGGAAGTCCTTTCGTATACCTAACCTAAGTCATTCCTGCTACGGGCTAAGCCTCCTCCCAGAGGCAAGGTTTGTATTAGAAAAATTCCTCAGTCAGGAGGCTTGAGCTGGGGGCTGCCATGGAGCCCGCAGTTAGGGACAGGTCTGGGCAGATCAGGGAGGGGAAGGCCTCCGGTCTGTCCTCTGTGAAGTCGGGATTCCTGCTGGGGAGGGCTCGGCCAGGGGTCATCATCTAGCAGGGGCCTCCTTGGGACATCTGGCAGCAGAGCCCAAGGGGAGTTCCCAGGGGTGACCTAACAGCAATTATAGTAGTGACGTCAGTGAATCGAGCCAGGGCGAGGACTCTAATTATTCCCATTTTACGGATAAGGAAACCAGCTCAGAGGCGTTAGGCAGTCTGCCCAAGATTGCGCAGCAATGGCGTTGGATCTAGGCAGGAAACCAGGTGGTCTCCAGAAGCTGTTGTCCAATGTCTTCCTCTCCCTAGGAAAGTACAGCTCCACGACCTGGCGGGCCAGTGGGGATTGTACTTTTCTCTATACTTCTCTGTATTTTCTAACTTCTTCTGGTGTGACCACATATTAATTTAAATTTATTGTTGTTGTTAACAAAAGCAAGTCATTCTGGTGAAAGAAGAGGGAAAGGGAGCATCCCTGCCTGCATCAGGCAAGGGAACTGCCGCCAGGCCCCCAGTAGGCTGCTGGAGGCTGGTGTGCATCCGGCCCTGCTAGGCCCTGCCAGCGGCCTTACCTTGTTGGCCCACTCGACCCGCTCCACGTCCGGGAAGTGGATCTAGGAAAGAAACCCCGAGGGGAAGTCAGACTTGAAGCTGCATACCCCCTGGGAACCAAGCAAGCCAGCCTGGCGGGTTCCCCATTCCGCCCACGCGCTGCGCCTCACCCCTTCCTCCCCGCTGCCTCCAAGTGTGCTCTCAGCACCCACTCGGCCCCCAGCCGTGGCAACTCAGATCCGGTCCTGCCCTCAAATAGCGCATCATCCAGTGGAGCAGGCAGCAAATCAACAGACAACGAGCTGGCACTGATTCCACAGTGCAGCCCAGCTCCAAGGCTCGCGTGGGCGTTTCTGGGCATGTGGTGGCAGGCAGGACAGGACTTCACACGGTTTCACCCCTCCCCTCCGCCCCAGCTCCACACCTAGACCGAGGTGGGAGAGCACATGGAAGGCGAGGAGGAAAGGGAGGGCTGGAAACTGCTGGTTTGCACACGCAAGTAATTCCCCACTGCTGGGGAAGCACAGGACCCCCGACATGGATGCCCCCAGGATAACACTCTGGTTGCTCCTTGCAAATTCCATCCCCCTTACTCGTTTCAATGACACAAACAATATGCAGTCTCCGTAGAAAAATTAGAAAATGCAAAAATCAGTTAAACAAAAACAAAAAACATTAGGGAAATCTACCACCCAATGATAGTACTTAACAGATTGATGTTTTCATGGACAACTCGGGAGCAGGGTGCTGTGTGGCGCCCCTCCCACCTCTGCCCACCTTGGCTCCCAGAAGCCCCTCCCAAACCTCCTCCCTTCCCCTTAGGCCCTTCCTATAGTCACACAGCTTCCAACTAAGGGCTCACAACCCCTAGCTACTCCAGCTCCACTTGCTGGGTGAACCCCAGTGTGGGAAGGGGGAACAGTGGAAGGTGAGTGGAGGGGCAGTCCTGTTGGCTGACCTGTGCATGACATAATTCTGAGAGTGCTTAATCCCCCTCCAAGATGTACAGGGTACCTGCACAAAACACTGACACCAAAACAGCAGCCACAGCCATCACTGTGGCCACTCCCCAAGTCCCCTGAGCATGAGGCTAGTTTGGGGTCAGATTCAGAGTGGGCCTGGGACCACCCACGGTGGGGAAAGGGCCTGCCCCCTCTATCTGGGAGCTCAGAAGGGCCTTGTCCTGGGACTAAGTAGAGGTGTCCCTGCAGTTCACACACCTACTGCGCACCTACCAAGTGCCAGGTCCTCAGCCAGTTTTGGGGTTGCCCTAAAGATTCAAACACATGCCCTGGCCTGCAACACTCGCCCAGGATCACAGCCATTCCCAAAGTGGGGGACAGAGAAATTCAATTCTCCTGGAACAGTTAAATAGCCTTGATTGGTCAGAGGAGTCCAGTGCTTCTGAGACTCTTGGGACACCATTCTCCCATTCTCTCTTGGGATACTATTCTCCCAGCCTCAGTTTCCCTTGCTCTGGGCAGTGGCCTATACTAATTCAGAAAAGTTTATATTCCCAGGCATGGAAGAGAAAACGTGGCCTGATTCCCAGAGGTGCAGCTGGCCCAGCCCACAGAAACACAAGAGATCGATGCAGGAAGGAATTGTGGGGAGCGTGGGCAGGAGCTCGGTTCAGTGGGGGTGACGCCGCCTGCTCAGCACACATTCGCTGCAGCTACCCTGGGTCAGGTCTCAGCTGGGAACCAGGCAAATGGGAGGCAAGACGTTTCCGTTGCTTCCTACTACACTGTCCAGTACTAAAGAAGAAACTCCTGCACATGGGCCTAGAGAGGAGACCCCGCTCATGTCATGGCCTCATCGCCTCCTCCCACTAGTCCCTTTCAATCCAACCACCTTTACCTTTTCTGTTCCTACCAAAGACCTGCATGTGCCATATTGTGTGTCTGAAACAGTCCTCCCTGCTCCCCTTTGATTGATTCGCTCGTCACTATCTTAGACTTCACTTGCAGGAAGCCTCTCTGGGTCTCCCAAGTTGGGGATAAGTGAGGTCCCTGCTGGTTCTCCATTGCAGCATTTGATACACTTTACTACAGCTGCCTGGTCTTGCTGCCTACCTCCCTACACACTGGAGGCTCTAGGAGGGCTTCAAAAACAAAAACAAACAAAAAAGAGCAACAGAATGACCAAGACCCACACTGATTAAGCTGTCATGGTTTCTCTCAATTACCCACACCTGTATTTGCGGCTCCTACATGCTGGAAGCTGTAAGAGGGCTGACTGGGCCTCACCCCTATTAAGGCCTGTGTCTAACATATGAAGGTCTTAATAAATATTTGTGGAATGAATGAATGAGGCATGGTTCTTGCCCTCAAGGAACTCACAGGCAGGCGACTAACAGATCACTCTGATACAGAATCATTACTAAGGTGGGAAGAGGGAACATCCTCAGAGGAACCTGCTGACCTCACCAGTAGCTGTCCTCCTTCCAGCCCAAGCATCACACTTCCCATCCCACACCCTTGGCCCAGATTGTTTTGTGACTTCAGGAGCTGAGTAGTTCTGATCTCTGGACCCCAAAAGGTGATCCTGCTTGGTGGGTCTAACCCTGGCCACTCTTGGGAGTTGGTCAAATGAAGATTCCTGAGCTGCCTCATGCCACTGAATCAGAGTATATCAGGGTGGGGCTCACCAACTTATTTTTCACAAGCTCCTGGTATGATGCTGGAGTTCAGTCAGGGTTGGGATCAATGACCAGCCGACCCCTTGCGTCAGGGTGACCCACATGCATCCTGAAAATGTAGGAAGCAAGGCCAGGAATTGTGTCTCATGCCTATAATCCCAGCACTTTGGGAGGCCAAGGCAGTTGGATCACTTGATTCCAGGAGTTTGAGACCAGCCTGGCCAACGTGGCGAAACACCATCTCTACTAAAAAATATAAAAATTAGGTGTGCATGGTGGCACACACCTGTAATCCCAGCTACTCAGGAAGCTGAGGCAGAAGAATTGCTTGAACCCTGGAGGCACCGGTTGCAGTGAGTCGAGATCACACCACTGCACTCCAGCCTGAGCCACAGAGTGAGACTCCATCTCAAAAAAAAAAAAAAAAAGAGTAACAGAATGACCAAGGCCCACACTGATTAAGCTGTCATAGTTTCTCTTGATTACCCACACCTGTATTTGAGGCTTCTCACCAAGAGGCTCCTTCATGGATGAGTCTGAACCCCTTGAAGAGAGCAACAATTCAGTCCAAGAAAGTAAGAGACCACAAGTCCCCTACCCTGCCTAGGGACCTGAAGGCCCTCCCTCAGCCTGAATCTCAGCACCTGCCTTCCTCCCAGTGAGCCGAGGTGCAAGAGCCAGACCACATTCCTTGTGACTGCCCCTCAGTTTGGAGCAGGGGATGAAATCATAGAGACTAATTCTTGGGGAGCAATGACTCAGCCTCAGTGCTTTTCCATTTTGACATCGACGGATCAATCTATTTTTCCATTATAATTCGTCATTTTTGGAACTTGAAGAAATCTTTTCCCACCCCACATTCTCAAAGTTACTCTGGATTTTTTATCTATTGGCTTTCACGTTGAGGTCTATAATCTCTCTGGATTTTTTTACATAGGGTGAGACAAAGATACAATTTTTTCTCCCTCCATACTTTCACTAAGGCAATTTTCAACCAACATATAAAAAAAAAATTCCATCTTTTTCCTTGACTTGTGAATCTACTTCACTCAAAAACTACCTCCTCATATGTACTTTGGGGTGTTTCTGGACTTGCCATTCAACTCTATCAGTCTGCCTGTTCCAGCACCACATGGTTTTCATCACTGTGTTTTTGCCAAATGACCTGGGGTAGGGTGAATCCCCTCCCCTGCATCTTTTTTTTCTTTTTTTTTTTTTTGAGATGGAGTTTCATTTTTGTTGCCCAGGCTGGAGTGCAATGGTGCAATCTCGGCTCACTGCAACCTCCACCTCCCGGGTTCAAGTGATTCTCCAGCCTCAGCCTCCCGAGTGGCTGCGATTACAGGCACCTGCCACCATGCCTGGCTAATTTTTTGTATTTTTGGCAGAGACCATGTTGGCCAAGCTGGTCTCAAACTCCTGAACTCCTGATCTACCAGTCTCGGCCTCCCAAAGTGTTGGGATTACAGGCATGAGTCACCGCACCCGGCCGGCGATTCCCCATTTTTTTTTTTTTCACACTGATTTAGATAATAGTAGGTATTTATTGTTCTGTATGAATTTTAGAATCAGCTTGTCAATCTACAAAAAAAAAATCCTTCTGAGATTTCGATTGTTATGTTTTTTAAATTATAAGTTAACTTGTGGGATAACCGACACAGTTAAATATTGCATCGTGAACACCCTTTATTTATTCACATTTTCTATTCACATTTAGGATCAAACTTCAACTCTTTTTCTATAAAAGTCCTGTATATATATATTTTTTAGATTATTGTGTGGAATTTCATTTTCTGGGCAACTTTGCTGAAATTTGTTAATTGTTCTAATTGTTCATTGATTCTCCCAGAACTCTTTTTCTTTGATTTAAATCTATTGCTTTTATGTTTTTAGAGTTGAACTTCATGAGTTTGGGGAATATCATTTATTTCCCATTTTTGTTTTGTAATAAATGAATTCAAAGGTATAAATTTCTCTAGTTTCTGACACAATATTTTCATTGCTATTCTGCTCTTTTTCTATTCCCATTATGACTTCCTCTTAATGAGTTTTTAAAATAGTAATGTTTTAAAATATCTACACATGTGACATTTCAATAGATACCTATTTTTGTTGTTTTCTAATAATAATTTTATTTCTTTGTGGCCTGAACAGTCTGTAGGACTGTCAATTCACTGGAATATGTTGATAATTCCTTGTGGCCTAGTACATGATTAATTTCCCTGACTATTCCATGTATAATCAGGTTATTAATCATGTCCTTCTAATATGCCTTATCCTTGCTTAGTCTTTGCCTGCTTCATTTATCATTTTCAGAAAGGGATGTATTAAAAGTTTCCAAGCCCAACTGCTGATTTATCTACTTCCTCATGTCAGTTGTTGATTCATATTTCAAGTTTATATTATATAATACATATATGT